ATTAAAACACAGATGTACGAAGAGGGGAGGCGATGAAGAACGGCAGGGGTTTTCTTTTTTTGTTGTCGTGTTGGAGAGGTGACGCCTAAAAAAGGCAAACGAGGTGATTGAGATGAGTCGGAGCCATTTTCACAAACTTCTCTGACAATTGTTCGAGTGTTCTGCAGATTCCCAACAGAGGTTACATGAAAAATATGCTGGACACCCCCCAAATAATACAGGACATGGAATATTTTCTTAAATGGGATTCTCCTTAAGAATGATTTGCGAATCGGGTGCAAAAGCTACAGAGAACAGGAGCCTGTGTGAGTTGCAGGACATTCAAAGAGCAAGGCTTTCATGAAAAGAGATATTACCATCGACGCCGTGTAATGCAATCTGAAAAACGGAAGACAAGGATGAAAACAGATGAAAGAATCTGCTAAGGTGATGAATCTGCTTCCCCTAACCCTTCTCTTGTGCCATGTGCCGAATAAATACCAATCAAGACATGAAAAGCCGGGAACCAAAGAAGAAAAGAGGGTCTGATAGCAACAAGGCAGTTAATCACTCCTTTACACCCACTCCCCCTCTCCCCAACAACTCTCCCCTTTTCTCTCCATCTCCCTCTCTCGTGACAGGTTGCTTTGAGACAGAAGGATAAGCTCTTTTTCAGAGAGAGGGAATCGGATTTCCTGCTTTTTGATGAGATAATAAAATATGACGGAGGACAATAGGAGCCTGTGGACGGCTTGCTGGGAGCTATTCACTCCAGCAGCAGCCCGAGTCTTAAGACTGCTCAGACGAACGTTTAAAAAGGTAGCCAGCGGCCCGAGCTCTTATATAAGCTACTGTTTCACACACACATACACACACACACACACACACAGTTCCACACCGTGTGTGTGTGTCTTTGATTGCGTTTTGCTGAAACCCTGAGAAATCTCCTCTCTCTTGGTGACTCAGGGTTGGCTGTTTGTTTGACCAGCGTGTTTCTCTCCTTTTGCTTTTGGGAACTGTCAGGAGATGTATTGCACCTTCTATTTGCACAGTGTTAGCCAAACAAGACAAGACCCTGGAAGATAAGGCAGTGTGTGTGTGTGTGTGTGTGTGTGTGTGTGTGTGTGTGTGTGTGTGTGTGTGTGTGTGTGTGTGTGTGTGTGTGTGTGCTCACAAGCTGTTGCCTTGAAGGATGAAATACAAGGACACAACACAAACCACTCCACTGTCCAGGTTAATTCCTAACTCCAACCAAGCCTGGGAATTCCAACACGTCCCATGCTTCAGTCTACGGGTTCATGTGCAAGGTGTGGAAGTTTTAGATCGGGAATGCAACTGACTGCCTTCCCAAGAAGCAATGAGTGAAAATGTTTCCACCTGGACGTAAAGCGCCGAGGTATGACTTTATTGTTTTTAGTTAATAAAACTTTCCAAATCCTGGAACACACACACACACACACACACACACACACACACACACACACACACACACACACACACACACACACACACACACACACACACACACACACACACACACACACACACAAGGCCCTGCGCCTCACATATCTGCTCCAATCAATAATCTACAAAGGCCTTGATAAGCCTGTGGCCCACACTGTCACTTTAAACAAACACAACCCATGTCCCCTCTTCCTACACCTCACCAGGCTCGTCTCATCCCCTCTCGCCTTGCTCCGACAAAACCAAGTGAAATGAAAAGAAAAGGCCACGACTGGATTAAACCATCTTTAATCTTTAACCTCTCATTTCCCGACCTTCTGTGGTTTCCATGACACCCTTCATCTCCTCAAGTCTGTCTGTTGTGACATCTGTGCTCCAGAGACTGTTGGGACGGGAAACGGGCCTCAAAGCTGAGCAAACATCAGCCACCCTTGCTCCACTGATAGCCTTGAGAACATGGAGCCTTGAGGGGCCGGCGTGTGTGTGTGCATGTGTGTTTGTGTGGAGCGGCATTAGCGTCACATGGTGGACTTCTCAAGGCGCGCCTCACAGAGGATGTCAAGGATGGGACGGGTCAAAGACACCGATGGAGTTAAACTCAAACAAGTTGGGGGGTTTAATTTAGAGGAATGAGATCAAACAATATCACGATCATTTAGAAACTTAGAAATTCATTGCCTGACGTTATCGGTTCACCCAAGGCTGAATGGAACCAATCCGGGGGTGGGGAGCGAGGGTCATCGAGTGCTGGGCCTCTGGAGGTCAGGAAGTCAACCCAACCTTAAGAGACCGAGAGCACAGGAGGCAGAAGGGAAAGAAAGGAGCAAGGGAGTCTGGAAGATAGGGAACAGGACATCTGGAGAGGAGGAGATCAGGGGGAGGGAGGTGGAGGAAGGAGGGTGGGAGGGTTAGGAAACAACAAAGGATGGAAACTAAGAAGCAGCAATGAAGGAGGCTGGAAGATGGATGGAAGGAGACAGAGTCCAAGGACATGTGAAGGATCAATGTGGCAGGAAAAGAAAGTAAAAATAATAAACTGCAGATTGGATTGAAAGGA